ACTTTAGTTGAAAGTAAGCACTCAGCTAGAAGGCAGGGTCTTAATACAGGGTAAACAACAGAGCTTGAAGCCGTGGACTGACCCCAATTTGTGGCTGGATTATAGGTCAGGAGAGCAAAGTCATCCTACACAGTTGAAGTGAGGCAGCTGCCAAAGACAAAGTTCCTACAGCAACACAAGTTTTCAGACCCTAGTCTGCAAGTAACAGATACAGAAAACATAATTTCACTTTCAATTTATTTGTAAGATGTGCTCATTTAATTTTCAGATTATAAAGAATCAAACAGGGCTAGGCTATGGCTCAGTGGCAGAGCACTTGCCTTGCACATGTGAGAGACTTGGTTCAATCCTCAGTACCACATAAAAATAAATAAACAAATAAAGATACTTTGTCCATATATAACTAAAAAAAAGATTTTTTTAAAAAGGATTCAAACAAAAAAAGACATGGTGCTCTTATGATTGCTTTCAGCTTCTAGAACCCTCCAAACTTGATTGACAGTGTAGGGATGATTTCAGAATATTCTTACTAATGCCATGGATAAAATCAATGCTAGGAATCAAAACACACGTCCAGGCACTTCCTAACAATATGTGATAAATAACCCTGCATACAATTCCCATGTCAGAACTCAAAGAAGTTGGATAGCATTTGAGAACAAAGGAGAAATAAAGACAAAATTTGCTGATTGATATGGAAGAGAGAACCAAATCAATTCTGGGGAAAACTGGAGGTTCCTATAGGCCTGTGGAAGGATATGTTCTGTGGAGTCCATCAAACCAGGGAACAACACAGTGGAGCTCAGTTTGACATCAAAGCTTTCTAAATCCCAGTGTCCACATTTTAATATGAATAAGCTCTTCTGTGTTTTATGAAAATAATTCATGAAAAGTGACCAGGGCCAGTAGCATAATAATATCAATCAATCAACAAGTACATGAAAAAATGCTCACCATCTCTAGCAGTCACAGAAATGCAAATCAAAACCACCCTAAGATACCATCTCACTCCAGTAAGATTGGCAGCCATTATGAAGTCAAACAACAACAAGTGCTGGCAAGGATGTGGGGAAAAGGGTACACTTGTACATTGCTGGTGGAACTGCAAATTGGTGCGGCCAATTTGGAAAGCAGTATGGAGATTCCTTGGAAAGCTGGGAATGGAACCACCATTTGACCCAGCTATTCCCCTTCTCGGACTATTCCCTAAAGACCTTAAAAGAGCGTACTATAGGGATACTGCTACATCGATGTTCATAGCAGCACAATTCACAATAGCTAGACTGTGGAACCAACCTAAATGCCCTTCAATAGATGAATGGATAAAAAAAATGTGGCATTTATACACAATGGAGTATTACTCTGCACTAAAAAATGACAAAATCATGGAATTTGCAGGGAAATGGATGGCATTAGAGCAGATTATGCTAAGTGAAGCTAGCCAATCCCTAAAAAACAAATGCCAAATGTCTTCTTTGATATAAGGAGAGCAACTAAGAACAGAGCAGGGAGGAAGAGCATGAGAAGAAGATTAACATTAAACAGGGACAAGAGGTGGGAGGGAAAGGGAGAGAGAAGGGAAATTGCATGGAAATGGAAGGAGACCCTCATTGTTATACAAAATTACATATAAGAGGAAGTGAGGGGAAAGGAAAAAAAAACAAGAGTGAGAAATGAATTACAGTAGATGGGGTAGAGAGAGAAGATGGGAGGGGAGGGGAGGGGAGGGGGAGAGTAGAGGATAGGAAAGGCAACAGAACACAACAGTATGTAAAAAACAGCAAATGTAAAACAGTGGATGTGTAACCGATGTGATTCTGCAATTTGTATACGGGGTAAAAATGGGAGTTCATAACCCACTTGAATCAAGTGTATGAAATATGATATGTCAAGATCTATGTAATGTTTTGAACAACTAATAATAAAAATTTAAAAATAAATAAAAAAGAATTAAATTTGTGTTTCATATTATGTCTAATAAAAAAGTACAAAAATTTCATAAGAATTCACTTGGAAATAAAATGCATTTGGGGTCACCAGGTTCTTTCTCAAGGGTTTAACCTGTCCCACCAGCATGTTTAAAATATGGTTTATATTATGTTTTCATGAGTGGGTGGGTAGAAATGTTAGTGTTTTCACTCTTATAGTTTCTGTCATTTCTTCTTTTAAGATTAAAGTCATATTTCTCCAGAGTAGTTTTGTGGGAATAAACAATCAAACAAAAGTGTGAAGCATTCCTATAAAACCTTATTAAATATTAAAGCACAAGAAACAAGATTCCCTTTAGGATTAAGGGATGGACATCTCTCAGAAGAAAATAAAATAGCCAAGCTAGCTTTAATTCTTATGAGGTTAACAGCCATAGTAGAAAATTTGGTGTTGAAAAGTGAACCAATCTTCAAGGATTTGGGGAGTAAGATAACATGCAAGGAAAAGAGATACTGGAAAGGCACATTATTTTGAGATTTTGTGGTTATTTAAAAGTGCCAGATAAGGCAGTCAAATCAGAGTCTGCTCTGGTTTGAAAATGATATTAGAGCCAGTATCAGATAAGGGCAAAGTTCAGGTGAGGAAGAGCAAATTCATGCATAAAATAGTAAAGTAACCACAGCTATATTTACTTCAGCATAGTGAAATACACATCTCTAAGTGGAGATTTAAGATGACAATCAGACATGTATTAATGAGCAAGATGAAATCCCACCTCTATATGTGAAGACATCAAGAAATGGAGTTCCAGGCTGGGGATGTGGCTCAAGCAGTAGCGCGCTCGCCTGGCATGCGTGCGGCCCGGGTTCGATCCTCGGCACCACATACAAACAAAGATGTTGTGTCCGCCGAAAACTAACAAATAAATATGAAAAAATTCTTAAAAAAAAAAAAAAAAAAAAAGAAATGGAGTTCCTACCTAATCCATAGATGCCATAAAAGCTGTGCATGTTTGTCCTTTGTTTGGGTCACTCTGAGGTTTTTGCCCACTAAATGTTGTCTCCCTTCTGGATCAAGCAAAAATTCCTAAATACAATCTTGCCTATGTCTAAATTCTTTTTAAGTTTGTTATTTATTTCTACCACTCCAGGTCCAAGAACCCAAGTTCAGTTAGGAAAAAAAAGATGAATTAAACATCACCTACCTTATAAACAAATTCCTTAAAAGCTATTTGATTTGGAATAAGGAAACTGTCAGAAAGTATTACAAGCTCTTGATTGGTGGTCTTTTAATAAAGTACATTTAAATTAATGTAATTTTTATCAGGAAAGAAAACTACCACTTTGATTTTTGCAATGTCTAGAGGCAGTTTCCTGGGAGGACCATTATACCATTATAGAGATTTAATAGGAACCCCAAGGCATTAAAAGGGCTTCTTCAAGAATGCATCTGGATGGTTTTTGGTTAAAGTCATGACTTTAACAATTATGGTTTGGTCAACATAGACCAAAATCAACAAAAATCAATAGCTTTTTTATGCACCAATAATGAACCCACTAAGAAAGAATTCAGGAAAACACATCCATTCACAATAGCTTAAAAACAAACAAACAAACAAAAAACCTAGGGATAAATATAATCAAAGAAGTAAAAGACTTATACAAAGAAAATTACAGAAATATGAAGAAAAGAAATTAAAGAAGATACTGCAAGATGAGAATATTTTCTATCTTCATGGATAGGCAGAGTTAATATTGTTAAAATAACCATATTACCAAAATTGATCTACAAATTTAATGAAATCCCCATCAACATACCAATGGCATTTCTCACAGAACCAGAAAAAAAATTAAAATTTATACATTAAAAAAAGTCTTAGAATAATTAAGCAATACTGTTCAGAAAGAGCACTGTGGAGAGGTAAACCAAATTGTAAATTATAATACAGAGTTATAGTGTCAAAAACAGTATGGTACTACCATAAAAACAGACATGTAAATCAATGGAACAAAACATAAAACAGAGCAAAAACCATCTGATTCATGAAAATTTGCCAAAAACATACAGTTGAGAAAAGACAGACTCTATAGTAAAAGGTGCTGGGAAAACTAGGAAGCAAAATGTGGAAGAATGAAATTAGATTGCTATTTCTTGCCCTATAAAGAAGTCAGCTCAGTGGCATAAATTCCTAGGAATTAGACCAGAAACTTTGCAGTTCCTAAAGGAAAACATACGGGCAACACTCTAACATTTAGATGCAGGAAACGACTTCCTCAATAGGACTCTTAAAACTCAGGAAATAATACCAAAAATTGATAAATGGAATGGCATAAAATGTAAAAGCTTATTTATAACAAAGGAAACAAAAGCATGAAGAGAGAGCCTACAGAATGGGAGAAATTATTTTCATCTACTCTTCCAACAGAGGATTAATATCTAAATTATATAAAGAACTCAAAAAACTCAACACACACACACACACACACAATAAATGGGCAAATAAACTGAACAGACACTTGTTGAAAAAGTACAAAAAGGCAAAAATTATAGAAGGGAATGTCATCATTTTTAGCCATTAGGGAAATGCAAATCAAAACTACATTGAGATTCAATATAACTCCAATTAGAATGGCAATCATCTAGAACACATATAACAATTAATTATGGTGAGAATTGAGGGGGGAGGAGTTTTTCAACACTGCTAGTGGGAATGTAAATTACTGCAACCTTTGTGGAAATCAGTACGGAGCTTCCTCAGAAAACTAAAAATAGAACTACCATAGCATCCAGGTACACCATCGCTCAGAATTTATCCAATAGAATTAAAGTGAGAAACAATTTCTCGCGGCTCGGCGCGCCCCGGCCCAACGCGCCGCGGCGGAGGCGAGCGGGAGGCGGGACGGGGCGGGGAGAGCGGCGGGGCCGGCGGGAGGACGCGCGGCGCGCCAGGCGGACGCCGCAGGTCCCTTGCCGCGCCGCGACCCCCGCGGCCGCGGCCGCCCCCCGCCGCCCGGGGCTCGCCGCGCCGCGCCGCGCCCGCGCGTCCTTAGCGGGGCCACCAAGCGATGCCCGCTGGGCGCCCCCGAAAGTTTGTCGGCTCCGCTGAAGGGCAGCGGCGCCCCCGCGCCCCCGTGCTTCGCTCCGGCCAGGAACCTTCACGTAAATGGGTCCAGTCATGCCTGCCAGTAAGAAGCCAGAAAGCTCAGGAATTAGTGTGTCCAGCGGACTGAGTCAGTGTTACCGGGGCAGTGGTTTCTCCAAGGCCCTTCAGGAAGACGATGCCCTCGACTTTTCTCTGCCTGACATCAGATTAGAAGAGGGGACCATGGGAGATGAAGAGCTGACCAACCTGAACTGGCTGCATGAGAGCAAGAACTTGCTGAAGAGCTTTGGGGAGTCGGTCCTCAGGAGTGTCAGCCCTGTCCAGGACCTGGACGACGACACCCCTCCATCCCCAGCCCACTCTGACATGCCCTATGATGCCAGGCAGAACCCCAACTGCAAGCCCCCCTACTCCTTTAGCTGCCTCATATTCATGGCCATGGAGGACTCTCCAACCAAGCGCCTGCCAGTGAAGGGTATCTACAACTGGATCTTGGAACATTTTCCGTGTTTTGCGAATGCACCTACTGGGTGGAAAAACTCAGTGAGACATAATTTGTCATTGAATAAGTGTTTTATGAAAGTGGACAAAGAGAGGAGTCAGAGTTTTGGGAAAGGGTCGTTATGGTGCATAGACCCAGAGTACAGACAAAATCTAATTCGGGCTTTGAAAAAGACACCTTACCACCCACCTCCCACCTCTCCTCAGGCATATCAAAGCCCATCAGGTCCACCCATCTGGCCGGGCAGTACCTTCTTCAAGAGAAACGGAGCCCTTCTGCAAGTTTCTCCAGGAGTGATACAAAATGGAGCGCGGGTTCTGAGCCGAGGGCTGTTTCCTGGCGTCCGGCCATTGCCAATCACTCCCGTTGGAATGACGGCAGCCATGAGGAACGGCATCACCAGTTGCCGGGTGCGGACTGAGAGTGAGCCATCCTGCGGCTCCCCTGTGGTCAGCGGAGACCCCAAGGAGGATCACAACTATAGCAGTGCCAAGTCCTCCAACGCCCGGAGCACCTCGTCCACCAGCGACTCCGTCTCCTCCTCCTCCTCCTCCTCCTCCTCGGCCGACGACCACTACGAGTTTGCCACCAAGGGGAGCCAGGAGGGCAGCGAGGGCAGCTTCCAGAGCCACGAGAGCCACAGCGAAACAGAGGAGGACGACAGGAAGCCCAGCCAGAAGGAGGCCAAGGATGCCCTGGGGGACAGCACAAGAAGCGCCAGCACTTAGCCAAGGCCAGGAAGGTCCCCAGCGACACGCTGCCCCTCAAAAAGAGACACACGGAAAAGCCCCCTGAGAGCGACGACGAGGAGATGAAAGAGGCAGCCGGGTCGCCCCTGCACTTGGCAGGGACTCGGTCCTGTTTGAATAACATCACCAATCGGACGGCAAAGGGGCAGAAGGAGCAGAAGGAAACCACAAAAAATTGAAAACAAGTCATTGATTTGTTTTGAACTTATGGCCATTTGGTTTCAGCATGTCAGGAGATTTCTAATGATTTGTGGCAATATCAGCAATTTTTTTTCTTTTGGTTTGATTTTCTTTCTTTTTTTTTTTTTTTTTTTAATTTGCCCCCCTCTCCTTTGTTTTGGACCCTTAAGAATTTTATTTTTAAAGGAGATTGAAGCCATAGAACTCATATTGACACTCAGCTGTTTTACAAAAGCTTTTCATTATCCGACGACAAAACCGAGAAAAAGCCAAAATTACCATTGCTTCCTGCAGCTTGTCAGAAACATGTGGCTTGAACCCACAGGGATGTCAACGTTAAGGCCACATTTGGAGTACACATTTGGCACCTAGAAGGCACGTGTGCAAAGTAATCGTCATTCAGGCCCAACCCTTAGGTTTAAAAAGAATGTCCTTCCATTTGGGTTCACTGAATGGAGAGACACATACAGTAATGGGAGAAAAGGAAGAACCCCGCGTCCCCTTAGACACAGACCCAGGCCTGTGCACCCAGCTTCCCATTGGGCAAGGAATGCCCGGGGCATTGCCAAACAGCAAGCACGGGCTCTGCCACCAGTCCTCTGTGCTCCGATCCTTGAGGCCTGGTGATGTCTTACAAGCTGAGCACCGAACTGTTGAGACACGTCAGGTGTCAGTGACCAAGAAGTGGGGTAAACTGTAGTCACATTGGTGATTACTCTGTTCTGTAGCTAAGAATATGTTCCAAAAGCCATAAGCCTGAAGGTTGGTCCTGCACGTGCATACACACACACACACACACACACACACCCCACACATATGAATGGGACTAAGAGAAAACTCATGAAAAAAAAAAAAAAAAAAAAACCAGGCCATATCTTCTAAACTGCCCAAGTGAAAAGCAATCAAGTCTGAAAATTGACATTAGCTGTTAAGGAAGGAAATAATGGTACAGATTCTTTTTCTGTCTATCAAAACCATTTGATTCAAGTGAAATTAAAAAAAAAAAAAAGCTACCAAACCTGCCAGTAGTAGTGTGGTATATAAAGGCACATTGATGGACACACTTCAAAAGTAAAACATGGCAAATAATAATAATAATAAGAAGAAGAAGTAACTCCTATACTGCCCTCAAAAAGGAGCCTGCAATTAATGTCAGTCAATATTCATCTTTGCAAAAAAATCTGATTTCCACATTCAGCCAGTGTAGCCAGCAGAAATTTCTGATCCACAATGCATGGATTCTTTTAAAGAAAAAAAGAAAAAAAATCATAAAAAACAAAACTTTTTTTTTTAATTCAAAAATAATAAAAGTTCTTGTAAGGTAAATAATGTATTTAGCATGAAGCATGAAGCATGAATTATTTTCATATAAATATAGAAAACAGAGAAAAGGCTATGCCTCTAATTTTTAAGCCCTTAGGCTTAGAGGTTCTTTGTTTTCCTCCCTTTTTTTTTCTTTATTTCTCTTCCTTTTTTCTTTTTCTTTCTTTTTTTCTGGGTTTTTGTTTTGTTTTGGTTTGGTTTTTTGAAGCAGGTGTTTAAGGTTTAATCATCTTCAGGGACAAGTTCTGACTGTTGGGGAACTTACTCTGCAATATAAAAATCTCTTCATGCTCTGGTAGGGCTTGGATGGTTGACTCTGCACTGCCTTGTCTGCACTCAGCCCGACCCCTCTGATTCTCTACTGGAGAGCATGTGCTTTCTCTTTGCCTGTACATGTTTAACATGACGCAATAATTCGAGGGCAAACTTCGTAGTGAGTGTGTATGATAGAATCAAGAGAATTATGGGATGCTTACTTGAGAAAACCATGACCTTGAGTTGGTTCTAGGAAAAAGGCAGTGAATATATGCAAATTCACCAGAAGGGGAAACATGCTAATGGGCCTTATTGGGTGAGGGTACGAGATAGAGTACACGTGAGGGAGGAAGTGACAGGAGGGTGAGAAAGGCCAGCCCCAGGTGTTTCATTGGGACAATGCCATTTCAAAGTAAGAGAGAGGGGGCCGGCCATCTCTACCACCTCAGCACACTAACAACCTGGAATTGGACCACCTAGATTGTGAGAGCTGAATTTTGACAACCAGACGATGTCACGCAGACCAGAAACTTATCTTTGCCTAAAATATATATATATATTATATATATATATAATATATATATTATATATATATATATATATATTATATATAATATATATATATATTTGTTTTTGTTTTTGAGATCCAAAGAAAAAAATCGGAAGAATATCATCTTCCATCCAAATGGAGGGAAGTGTTTAAAACAAAAGCACCTACTATCATGGCTCAGGATCTGGTGGTCGGGGACAGGGAGGGGACTAAGGGGATCTTGAATTTTTACACCAGGACACTTGTGAGCCAAAGTCAAGCCCATGGGCCATCACAGGCTACCGTCAGGAACTCCATCAGCCAGAATGCTCCCATCCCTGCCTTTCTCTGGGCTGCTGATGAGAGAACCTGGAAGACATGTCCATGTTGTGGCCCAGGCTCCTTCCCCTGCACTAAGCCTGAGTGCGTGCCCGTGATGTTCAGGATTAGGTGGGGACGCAGATCTATCTTTGCAGTGCTCCGTCCCCTCATTCTCCCCAAACATCAAACACCCTAAAAGCCATGCACAGCTATGGAACCTGAGCCACACTTCAATTTGTGTTGTCACCTGATTAAGCCCCAAAGGCCACCACCTCGATCCCCCAAACCCAAGACAATACAATTCAGACTTCTCTCTGGAAAGGCAGAGGTAAACATCAGCACTGTTTCTGGCAGGGGACTTCTTCCAAGGAAATCCCCACAGTGGGCTGTCTCCCCTCATTTCATTTTTCTAAGGGGGCAGATGCCTCTCTTAGAACATAATAAAATGCAATGTGTGTGATTTACTTTTCTGATCTCTTTTGAGAAATAGATAAATACAAGTGTGTTCTTAACTCCAGAACCACTCTTTTTGCATAAATACCTCATCGGGCAGCTAAGTGTTATTTTCCTGAGTCTCTCTCGGCACCTTCATTGGATCTTCTGGAAGACTTGTTGGGGAAACTTTAGCGAGGGTACTTTTTTCTATTTTTCTTCTGTTTTTGGAGGCATACACATTATGCATAACCAAAACAATGGCTCAATTGTGTTTAATTTTGTATTTTGATTGTTGAGGAAAAAAAATATCAATGTGTATGTGGCTGTTTGTAGTGAATTCACGAGGTTGTCCGTGTCCTTAACAAGCCAAGGGGCAGGAGGCACGCTCTCTTACCCCCTCCTCCAAGAGCAGTAGAGAATTTAAGCACAAGCCTATTTGTGAAAGAATATTTTGCTTAAATGTTATTCACTTTAGTCTTGGAATTCCTTCCCAAATGTCAGATGTTCTTTTAGCTTCCAAACTAGCATATGTATCCATTAGTCTGACCCATGGCCTGAGCACTATCCTGGGGTGTGGTGGTGCTCTTTCATTTCTCTTGCCGGGAGAAGTGGCGGTTTGTGTGTCATTCCAGTATCTCACATACTCACGGGGCGGGGGGAGGGGGAGATGGGGAACTATAGCAATATTTCAAGATGCTTTGGAGAACAACCTTGAACCCATCAGCACCGTGACATCTGCAAGTGCTTGCTATTGGCCCTCGGACACATTTAAGAGAAAGAGATCGTAGCTCTTTTTTCTTAAATGATATGCACATAGACAGTTATTCTTATCCTACTGTAATTGTCTTCTCTATCTAGTACTATGTGGAAAGGGTTTGCATCATAGGTTTTTTCCCCAGCCTTACAATATACCACAAGCTCCTACTTCCCCCACCCCAGTCAGTATAGTTCTTTGGCAAGGCTGTCTATCTGAAACTCAAAATGAACCAAACCCGCCCTTAGATGGTGGTTTGAGAAAACTATAGCCAAGACAACTGTCATGGGTTTCAGTCTCGTATCTCAGTGTTTGAGAAGGACTGTGTCAGAGGCCTTTCCCAGGAATGGATTTTTCTCCCAAGAGGCAGTCCGCATGTCTAGTGCTTGCTGGACACAGTGGTCACGACCACGAGGCATTCTGGAAGAGACCATTATGTTGAATGGTGCCCCTCCCTGGGGGACAGCGTCAGGCAGTGGACTCCAGTGAAAAACGTGTGCAGATGGCTGTTGGGCCCATCTCAGAGTCCAGCACACCAGGTCTGCCCAGCGACAATTGCAGGTGATCAGCCTCAATGCCTCCACTCTCCAGGGGCCTCTGGTGCAAGGGCTCTGACAGGAACCGGAGATCTGTGCAAGCGATGGACATGGGAGGGTTTTCCACTTGGGATCGGGTTCAGTTTGATGTGATTTCTCTTTCCCTTTCAACTGTATTCAGGTTGGGACTGGTTTCTTTCTGGTGGATCACAGCTGCCCAGATGTTGCAATTTATTTTTATGTTTCTATGGAGAAGTCTTTTTCTTTTCATCTTCAGAATTTTTGAAATTTTTTTTGCCACCAAAAGAAAACATCAGAACTCTGTGTCCCCTCTCGATTGTGACTTACCAGTGTTGACAGTTAAGTCTTTAGTGTTGTAGCTCCCGGCCCACCAATACTATATCAGACACTTATGCCCATGGTGCAGCACTGTGATCTAATTTAAATAATACTTTTTTTATTATTTATACTACTATATATAATATACATCAACACTTTTGCTATATAACCTAAGTGATAAACCCCTTTTAGTTACCTGCCAAACTCTGGACTTTGGTTTATATTGCAGTTAACACAGTTACAAAGTTGTAATGGCATCTCTCTCTCTCTCTTTCTCTCTCTCTCTCTTCCTCTGTGTAACGGAATATGTAAATCAAAAGTGTGTACATTGTGTGGTGTTCCTGTTTCCTGGAATCTCATGAGGATTTACACACGGCTTTCAGTGTTCTGTATAGACCTGCCTCCCTTTGTGAACTCCTCTGTGACCTCTGGTCTTGGCGGCTAACTCCATGTATCTTCTCTCCTGCTGGTTACTCTTGAATTAAGCACAGACTCCTCCTCAGCTCGGTTGCTTTATCATGAATAATGTATGTGACCTTGGCATTCTTCCACAGTTCAGCAAACAAGTGACCAAAAAAAATTAAGGAAGGAAAAC